CACCTTAGCCAAACGTCTTTGCTTCCAAACATCCTCGATGGTTCCCATGAACCGTCTCCGTCAATCACCAACGCAACTTTTCCATCCTCCTTCCAAATCCACCACTGTTCTGTATCCGATATCATGACAACTTCCGGGGCACCCGACATGATCCCTTGCGTTTCTCCTCGCTTTCTCCGCAGAATTTTACACTATAACTATATTCAGGCTGATGTAGGGTCGAAAACGCGTTGACGACGATTAAATCTTCACTAAAACCACGAATAAGTACGACGAAACAAGGAAGCAACGATAGTTGGCAACTTGAACGGACGAGAGCGTTGATAAACTGAAGCCGTTACCCTCACGCTCTGACTCAGAACTAATTCGGACCAGGCCTGGACCAGGCACGGGACGCTCGTATTACCTTCTCAAACCAAACCAGGGGCCAGGCCTGCCAGGGGCCGACAGCAGGGGCCCCCGGTCCCTCAGAGACCAGAGCGCCTGACTGAGAGACCGTGGCTGTTTATTTGTGTACCGAGCTGACTGGTAACGGTCGTGTTTTCACCAGATAAAAACTCACGCAGTCACTACCATGTTTCTAATATTTTATCTACTCGGGTGCATGGCAAGTTTTGTTCACTATCGTACACCGACGGGGCCCAAGTTCGACATCATGGAAAACCACGCGTCTGGGATGAAACTGCATGAAGAGTCAAACCTCAAATTATGTAGCCGGGATACCGAAGAGACTCTACAAGAATGGGAAGGAGGTACGTTATATCTCGTTTTCACATAATGTACGATTTCAGCTCACGATTTGTACACTTCCGCCGTTAGAACCTTTTTTGCAATACCAGGCCGTGGTAGCGCATGGATGAGATTTCAGTGTGTCCTGCAAGGGGGTGGGGGTGTGAACTTATAATATGTAGTAGGCATTCGATTCTTCTGTGTGAATAACCGATTTTTATATATTTTGGCCTGGTAATAGGTACACCGTGAGAGTTTGCAGGTTGCTGCCGGTGGCAGTATCCACGCACACACACCCGTATGGAGGGACCCCTCCCTCGCTGCCTGAAGGTCCGGAAGAAGTCGGGTAAGTAGAATGCATTTGTGATCACCTCACTCTCAGCCTCTAACAGGTAATCAATCTCCTAGTAGGGTCGTGAATTGTATTAGAGCAATATACGTCATATTGTATATTAGATCAATATATACTGCCACTCAGATCTTTGGGTGTCAGCATACTGCAGGCAAACTGGATACTGCTTGGAAAGTTTGAAACTGTATTTCAGCCACCCAAATATCTGCTTGGAGATGAGTATTAGATTGCATGTGAGATAGCGGCCTTGGGAGCTTCGCGGTGCCTTCTTCTTGTTGTTGAGAGGCGACTACTAGTAGACAGACGTCGCTAATTTTGCTTTAGGATTGAAAAAACGGCTCCCTCATAGACTTCAGACTCAGGGTTTGACATCACAAAGCTAATTGCACGTTCCCTTATTTAAAAAGAGAAACAAAAATGTTGTGTGCAACCAAAATAATATTTTTACTTTCTAACATGTGCTATTCAGGGCTCACTAGTTGAATTTGTCTTCCTGTGGGGAAGAGCTGATACACTGGATACTGCTTGGAAAGTTTGAAACTGTATTCCAGCCACCCAAATATCTGCTTGGAGATTAGTATTAGATTACATGTGAGATAGCGGCATTGGGACCTCCGCGGTGCCTTCTTCTTGTGTCTCTTGTTGAGAGGCGGCGACAAAATGGGTCATCTGGTTTCCATCTTTTCTCTGTGTATCAAACATGTAATTTTCTAGAGGGGCCCTGGTAGATTTGTCTTAGCAGATAGAAGAAAGTGTTGACAAAACAACTCTTTTTAAATAAGGGAACGTGCAATTAGCTTTGCGAGGTCAAACCCTGAGTCTGAAGTCTAGGAGGGAGCCGTTTTTTTCAATCCCAAAGCAAAATTAGCGACGTCTGTCTAGCCTCCAGCAGGCTGACACTTAACTTGGACGGTTGCACTTTCATAGTGCTTAAGCGACTCACGGAATTAAGTGACGTTTCATGATATTAAAGTGGCCTTGTCGCCATCCGTTTTGTAACGCCTTACACTAGTTACAGGCTGGTTCGGGGTCCCTTGCACTTGGGGAGTTCCGTTACACAAGGAATAACATCCATATTAACTCTCCAATCAGATCATACCGTGGCAATGGCAGTATCCATTATCTTGGGCTACCACCGTATGATCTGCTTGGAGATCCAGGCTACAAGGGCTGGTGAAAACCGCAGAGGGACTCAGAACTAGGACAGATGAAACCATGCGTATATCTCTCAGCGGGTAGCTTCCTCATGCTATGGTCACATCCCAAACCGGTTTCCGGTCGAGCGGTTCTCGGGAACTTGAAGTATGTTATGAAAGACGACAAGACAGACAGAGTGTTGAAAACTATGCATATTTTGTGCGTATTTTTGTGATGCGCGTTTTTATGTTTCGTTTATGCAACACTCCATGTTAAAAACCATGTTTTAACATGGCTAAAAGTCAATGCAACACTCTGCGTCTGAGCTTGGGCCGGTGTGGTCGGGATTTTGGTCAAGGCTAGGCAAGCCATGGCCATACAAGACCACTACCGCCCCTCCTACCCCCCCACTGTCCCCAAGTTCGTAGTTTCCCTGTCCCTTCCCAGTGGGAGGGCGCGACTCTGTGGGGCATGGGACGCCATAGACCGGGTGGATCGAGAGAGCAGTTACAGCTACAGCTATCTAGAATAGGATCCGGCTTGATGTGGACGTCTTTTCCCCGTTTTATCACATCTAAATTCTTTTTTTGTCAGATTTTCTTCCCGCTCTGTAAACTAATCTGGTAGGAATTTTAGCCACCCTAGTATCTGCTAAGAGATTAAATTGACTTGTCAAAACATCATTTATCCCTGCCAGGGCTAGACCCGGTTCTCACACGGGCAGAATGATCGCCTGTGTTTAAAATCATGCTAGAGTGAGTCAGAAGTGACTTTATAGAGAATCCGAGTTTATAGAGTTTCGCAATCAGCCTGTTCTTGGCTAAGACATAGATAAACACATCACCGTGGATTTTACCTTACATAAGGGAGGA